GATTGTGGCCTGGCGTTTAGACAGCACCGCAGCCGCAATGGATGTTTATGTCTACCAATCAAACACAAAGTGTGTGTGTTACGCGGCATTATGGACGGAGAGGCTCGTTGAAACACAGAGGTGGAGGGATCTACGCTTCTGCAAAGAACGAAGAGTCTCTGACAGAGGTGTGGAGAGATTACACATATGATCGCTGAAAACACAGGTCAGAGAAATAAAAACTTCTTTTCCAATAAGTCATGCAAATAGTTCTAACAATATACCTGAGTGCGTTGCTTTAGTTGGATCTTTTGACTGAAGCGGCATTCTAACAACTATCTGTTTATGGAAATAGACGTCAAATGTGGCTGAAAGCTGCTTTTCCCTAAGAGTTTGCTCACCTGATCCTGAGCCTCTGGTCAGACAAGGCAAAAATGATTAGCCATCTCCTCAGGAGGAGATCCTCATGCTACTTTGTCCTGGTCTCTTCCATGTGAAGAGCAAATACTCACTTAAGTCCTTCTGGATCCAGAAACTTGACATCAGTTTGTCCCCGTAGGGGGAAGGGCCCCTCGCCAGCTTCCCAAACCCCTTCACGCCTCTCTGCCAGAATGTCTGTCTTTTTGTTTCTAACTCCCCTAGAAACATCTGGAAAAGCCTGACAAGACGCGCCGCTTCCTTCCAGATTGGACAGAAAGACGTGGTGTCGGTACTGTTTATAGTAACTGGCAGAAGTATCGATACCCCGTCGGTTCTACGTCAAAAGCCAACAGAAGGATGCTACTAAAAATGAGAAGGTAGTGATGCGTTTCCATTCAGTCCCCTTTATTGAAACTGAATTTTGTTGTCAATAAGACCTGTTTCATTTTTCAATTGCCTAACCTCTGAGATTCTGGAGACTACAAACAAACAAAATGGAAATTTAAATTCTGGGTCCACGTAAGTCTGACAAATGGACAATGACCCTAAATCACAACCCCAAAATTAGCTTCAAATGGTCTTAAAGGCAACGAATGTTTGGAGTGGTAATCACTCTGATCTCATAGAAAACTTGCTGGTAGATGTAGAAATGTGTGTGCAAGTAATATAGCTGACAAACCAGACTCGGACATACCAAGACTCTCAAAAGGACTCGACCAAAAATCCCTTCAAACTATTGTGAACAGCTCCTCAAAGACGAATTCTACCAATCCTACCAAATATGTGTAAGTTTTGATTGTAGACTTCTGCTGCAGTGATTTGGTTCTTTGGACCAAAACTGAGGAGCCACGAGAAAAATCCATATGAAGAGAAATAATGTGAGCTTCAAAAGAACATCTACCAGATAAAGTGTTTGAGTTTATTATGTTTCCAAAAATCCACAAAGGTTTACCGAGAATTTGTTTAGTTAATTCCAAACCATTTTTCCGCCGCAGTTATCGAAAAGGCCACCTGGGAAAATATAAATAAGTCAGCAGCATCTGGTTGGAGCAGCAGATGTGGAGAGTGTGTGGACACTGTTGGCTGAATTACTGTTATTGTGGTTTTTGTTTATAGCAAAAAAGAGGAAAAAGAACAGATGATACATCAGATGAGAGACTTCTTAGCGCCTCCCTCTCGTTCCTTTCATCATCTTCTAGTCCCACCATCTGCAAAAAAACGATCGCACAAGAAACTTCAGTGGGATTCCTCCCTAAACTTCTGAAATTTATGCACCACATTTAAAAACACCTGCCTCGTAAAATAAAAGTTCATCAGTCTGTATCTTGTAAACGCAGAAAACTTGAGATTACTTTAAAAAAAAAAAAAGCAGTTTTCTTTGTCTTTTTTTCTTTTTATTTGAGAAATTCGGCGAATCCCTGAAAACGTCCTCTGGTCTGCCACGGTAACATGATGGATCAATTTTCCTCCTGAAGCCTCTCCCTCCATCCAGATCTGCCGAACGCCACAGTGATAAATCCTGACGGGACAGAGCGCCGTAACTCATGTCACCGCCGGAGCCGAGCCCGAGCGGGGCGGACGCAGAGTGATGCAAGCCTGCCGGGTGTAGATTCGGAGGGATTTACGGCTCTTGCCGAACTGGTAATATCTGCTTTGGCAATTAGAAAATCAATGGTGCCGTTCACTGTGGGAAACACGGGGATCAAGGAGTGATCTGCCTCCCATTTGTTTCCGCTGTGGCATCGCTGGTGCGTTATTTCCTAACTCGTGTTTATGATCCAAATGTTGATGTAAATTGAAACTGTCAGGCAAATTCTTCAAATTAAAGAATTAAGGTTTGCGTCAGACTAAACTTTTCTCTTTTTTTTCGTGAATCATATTTATTATGCACATTATCTTCCAGATGTGATCTGTAAATATTTAATCATTCTGTGTTTAGGCTGAGAAACCCATGGAACATTCCTCGAAGACAGACCACTTTGGTGTTCGTGTTATTAATGCTGCTGTTGGAAGTTTAAATCATGTTATTTTATAAATAAGCTTTTCTTTATTTCAAGTAAATGAATGGTTTTGTTTTTTTCAGAAAGGCTTTTTCAAGTCAGAGGACTCTGATGTCATTTTGCTTGGTGGAACAAAAAACCCCATTAAAATCAAAGTTTTAGACACCAGCGGATCAGTTACATGGATGTCAAATCACGAGGGAACGTCTTTCTAACTTCACTAGGGCGTAAAACTTTGTCCATATTCAGCTAAAGTCGAAAAGCAAAATCTTGCAATGGCAGCGTTTCCGTTAAAAAAAGAAGTGCATGGGGGTAAATCTGTGTTTTAATAAACACGCCCCCTTGCGTTCCTGGAGTCTTCTCCGGTAACATTGTTGATGAGGCGACACGTGTGATGTGAGAAAAGTGTTTTTGTCTGAGTTTTCAAGGAAGTACTTTTGAATTTGTTCAGCGAAACAAACGCATTTCGATCGAGCCGAGAAATCGCCTCATCGTAGCGCAAAAACCTTTCATCCAGTTTTTAAAAAAATAATAATTTTTTAAAATTGGGCCAATTTATTTTGGCAAAAAAAAAACAATTTGCACAATTATATGGTCAGCAGGAACACTGCTGCTGTCTGAGTTTGCATTTCTTCCAGTCACATTCAATTCCCTTCATTAACCACAAACAGTAGCAGCATAAGGTCGTTACTCATCTGTGTTTGACTGAAACGCAGCTGCTCTTCTTTTCTTTCTCCTCACGACATTTTGACTCTCATTTCAGAAGCTTATTGAGTTCTAGTCGTTGATTAGGAGTTTAAATCTTTTAAATTGTTCTGAGGACAGTCTGACGTTTATGCTGTCACGTCCGGAAAATGAGAATATGTGTTCAAATGAGGAAGATTGAAAGTACCTTTCTGAAAAGAACCTTTAAGCAGGTTTCAGTAAGCTGAAGCTCACATTTCTGTTTTTAAACATAGTTTTTCTGTTGTCTTCTTTTTCACTTTAAATGTCTTGTTTTCGTCATCTGTAAGTGGAAAATTATCGTAGTCGAAATAAAGTCGTTCAAACATCTACATGTGCGTAATAAACCCTCATTATGTGTTTCACTTTGTGATCATTTAATTTCTAAGATAACCAGAGTAAAAACAAGATGCAGGTTTGAAATGGTAACGCGTTTTCTTAAGGGGAAAGCCTCCCATCTTGGCTGTACCTGAACAACTGCCAACAAGTGTTTCTATATTGCTGTAGCTGAATTGCGGCCCGCTCTTATTTGCAGAATTGCCACTTTTAACCGATTTTAATTGGATTTAAGTTGAAACTTTTGGACTTTGTTTTGAGGCGTTCAGGACGTCGTTCTTGGTGTTTTGCTGACATGTACGTGCTGCTCTGCTGCTCCTCCCTGTCCTGCTGATTAGCTCATTCCCTTACCTGCTCCCTATTGAAACACCTGCTCTCCAGCCACAGTTGGTTGTTTTTCCAGTCACAGTCTGAGTGGTCTGTGCTCTTCATAGTGTCCCTGACCTACTTCTGTCTCCTCCCTCGTAATGTGAGAAATTCTGTGTTTTGTGCTGAAACCTCTTATTTCTCAGGACTTCTTATTGCGGCCCTGTAGATTTTTTTTAAATTCATTTAGCCATTCTGCTTCTCTTGCCTGTCGACCGTCTGATCTGGATTGTCTTAATGTTTGTGTGAGGCTGCTCACGCTCGGAGGACTCTCTGGTGTCGCCTCTCTCCTTTCGTGCGGTTTTCCCATCAGGAAGATGGGACTTGACCACCTGCATCTGCTACCACTCCATTTGCATCAAGTCCTTATTTTATTATTTCATTAAAGGTCTGCCTACCATGGTTTGGCCTCAGACAACTTCTGACTTATTGCGCTCTAAAGTGAGACACAACAGCAGTTTCACTGGTTCCATCATGTACTTATTAAACTTATGTAAAGCTGGATTGGTGTAGCTTTTTGTAAAATGTTTTTCTACCTATTGAATCCATCACCATGTTGTGCCAGTAGTATGACACACTCAGGCCCCTCTGGTTTCTCCCAGTGCTAATTAGAAGCGCTCATAAACGTACTGCTAACACCCTTCCCCTTGCTACGCTAACAGCTTCTTCCTGATGTCGGAGTCCGTCACGACTGGTCAGGCTCGTTGTCATGGCCATCGACGGTTTGGCCACTTGTGTCTTAGTTATCCAGCCGGACGTTTTTCTGGAACATGAAGTTGTTTCTCCATCAACGGTTTCTCCAGTGGTATCACTGGGAGGAGTGGTGGTCTTTTCACAGGTCGTCATGTGACACTCACGACATGGTGGGTTTAAACAAATATGTCAATTCTTGCCCTTTGGCTTGGTTTTTGTTTTCAGTTGAGACCAATCAGTGCGCCGCGTTTCCTTCCATTAATACTGAAACTCCAAACTCACTCGCCTGTAAAATTTGTTCTTCTCTTTTTGTCATTCCAGTTACAAATGTGTCAAAGAATATTTGGCGAACCACTGAAGTACTACGAGTACAGATGAAATTACAAGTCAGGGTTTATTAAAAATGTCACAGATGAGCTTCACAGTAGACGACCATGCCATGCCATTATGAACTTTGGCCTGAGATCTCGAGCACTTTGCCGGTTTTTTTTTTTTTTTTTTTTTTACAATTTAATTTCAAAGTATTAAATCCCTTGGGGCTCTGCTCCATTGTGTTCATGGCATGGGAAAAGTATTCCTAAAAACAAAACAGATGCACATAAAAATTGATACCCTTCATAGCTGCCAAACTCACACGAAATGTATTATGTGCAAAAGAAAAACATACTTTTTATGAAAGCATTAAAATGCAAGAACTTAAAGGAGGAACACTAAGCTGCTTTCTGTGATCAGCTTTCCTGCAAGGATTTCTGTTCAACATGTGGATCTATGGAGAAATGAGCAGAAAAACTCCTGAGTAACCTCCTCCTCATCACTTTATGCCTTTGACTTTCCTCCCCTTTTCTTTTTTCCCTTTCAGATGACTGAAGAAGAAAACTCCCAAAGTGAACCTAAAGGGGTGAGCGAGAGGACACGGTGTCTTGTAAAACATATGCACTTAATATTCAGGCCATAAAACTTGTGAAATTAAAAGCTATTTTGGAAAATAGAAAAAGAAATATTTATGTGTCTGGCTCCGTGCAGAGGTTGTTTTATCGTGGGGCAGCGAGGGCCCTCTGGGGCACAGGTAACGACTGTCAACAGGCGCAGGGCTTGGGGTAGAGGAGGTTTAATGCTGCTGGGATGAATGCGCTCTAATGTTGAACCAGATGTCCGCATGTGTGACGGGGTTTCCCCCAGACACAGTGTTGGGTTTAAGGCAGGGGTGTCCAAACTTCTTACCTTGGGGCCCAAAGCTGACAAATTTAAACTACTGGCAGGCCACCAAATTTATGAAATAAAAAAATTAGTCTGTGCTTTTTTTAAAAACCTGCTAAAATATACATATATATTTTAAATAAAATTTGTACATTATTAAAGATCCAAAACATAAATGCTGCTTTATTGAAAGAAAATATACATATATATATTTTTTGTCATTAATTGTTTTCTATTTTGTTGGCCAAATTTTTACCATACTTGTGGTCAGGGGCCAAACAAAATCATTCCAAGGGCCTCAAATGGCCCCCGGGCCACACTTTTACACACCTCTGGTTTAAAGGAAAACAGAGGAGGAAAGTGAAACAATAAGTTCTCCTGATTATAACCGAAAGACGACCCAAACGACACCGACGCTCTCGACTGTCACAGTAAGACGAATTCAGCGACATGATTAGAGCTACAAACAGACGTCAGAAACGCAGCACAGATAGACGTCAGAAACGCAGCACAGATGACAAGACGGGAAAATTAAAGGTGGAAAACCCAAACACAAAAACAATGTCAGCCCAAGTCAGGTTGATTGAAAAGCTGCAAAAAGCTGTTATGATTGTGAGAATGTGCAGACCCCTCATTTTAGCAGCCAGAAAACATCGTAAATCGTGTGGAGGTCTCTGTTTACGTTCTGCTGACCCCTCTTTGCACTCCGGCTCTCCGAGTTCAGACGCAGTCACTTGGAGACAAATTCAAATACACATCAGGCGAGTCTGAATTAAGAAACAGAGAAAATCTGTGGGGGTTTTACGGCTCCGTTGCTCCGTTTTAAGCTCAGGTTGTTGTCAGTCTGGCAGAGTGGAATTTATGGCGGTCTTTTTACCTTAAAGTTCAATTTGTGCTCTTACCATATATCAGATTTTTATGTAAGTATATTATAAGTGAGGGCACACAAGGGCACAGTGGTTAACACTTTTGCCTCACAGCAAGAAGGTCCAGGGGTCAAATATCAGGCGGGGGCCTTTCTGTGTGCTGTATGCATGTTGGTCTCTTACATTTGTAGCTTAAGTTACTTCTGAAGAAAAATAGTTGGATTGGATTTTTTTGTGTGATTGGGAAAATGAATAAAAATGTACAGTTTGCACATTGAAAAGGAAACCACGCTTTTCTCTTCTAAAATGTTTGTTGTACATAGTAAGAAAATGCATACAAAAATGATGGCTGTGACTTGTTGGTCCCACAGTTTTTGCTTTTCAGCTGCCTTCTTCCTTCCCTGACTAACAAGTGGGAACCAAATCACCTTTGACCTCCTGAAGGCAGAAATTGGTATTTTATATAAAGAAAAACAAACCAGGAAATAAAACTAATATCAACACGACACCATATTTAAGAAATATGGTGGTATGATCTGGAAAACAGCCTTTATTTGCATAGTATTTGATCAAGTCTGTGGACTCCAAAGCAATTCATTCAACCAACCACAGACATCCATGACAGATGCAACTTGGTCTGATTAAGCTTTGAGGTTTACAACTAGACAAGATAGTTACATACCCTGCAAAGAAAGACTCTTGGTTTTGAAATGTCTGACATTAAATCAGATAATACTTTCCTGTTTTAAGTAAGTTATGACAACCAAAACCATTTCCACAGGCCAGAATAATGACTGAGTGTCTTTTAGAGAAGATTTATACAGATATCCAAACAGAATCGACTGAGTTTGGTTTGTAAGCCGTTTTGGTCTCACACACACACACACACACACACAACCCACACACACACCCACACACACACACACACCCACACACACACACCTTGGGGCCCAAAGCTGACAAATTTAAACTACTGGCAGGCCACCAAATTTATGAAATAAAAAAATCACACACACACACACAAAAGTTTTCCCCTACCAAAGTTTATATTCAAATGAGATTAAGACTCCAAATTATTAACGTTGTTGATAATTAATGTGGCGGTATGCTTAATTTGGATGACAAACACGTGCCCAGGTTTGAAGTTTCTAACAAATTTGTCAAAAGTTTACAAACCATGACAATTTTTTTTATAGTAAAAAAAAAAATCTATCATTCTTTACTTGTTTTTTTAAAAAAATTTTATAGTTACTATACAAGTAAATTAGTATCAAACCAACAGATTATTTGACTAGAGGAGTATTTTGAAGTGAAAAAACATTAAAGATGGCTGCCATTTAGGGGACAGTGTAGTAATGGAAATCTGAGGTTGATTTTTAAAGTTGCAACATATGCCATTCAAAGAAACCATGAAAAACGTGTCTGACCAAATCAAAATCTCAATACTAAATTACTAAATGTTTGACCAAATTGAAAAACTCCTTTTTTGGAAACAAAATAAGTCCAACTTCTGGTGTCGGTCTTCAAGAATTATCTAGTCTATTTTATTTCTGTCAAGCTTCAGATCTATTTATCTCCAACACATATTCAAGGCAAGCCCTTACAGATGTTGGATAAAGAACCAATTACTGGTTCTATTGTCAGCGTGAAGGAAAATGTGGCGCATGGTGTTGGTACAGCTTGTGAACTCGTGGCTTGCTAAGGAGCATGCATGGCTGAACGTTCCGCATTAAGTGCGCCGGCATTTCTACGCTCTTTGCAAGACTGTTCCTTTCTTTTTTTTTTGAATGAATAAAACACACACAGCCCCTTTTTCCTGTGAATTTCAGACAGACACCCGCATTCTTAACGTACAGGCCTGCACATCTCAGCGCCACCGAAACACACTACAAATTTATGACCTGAACATTCCAGCGGGGTCAAGCAATTTATCAAATCCCGCACATTCTGGTTTCAATTACACAGTGGATTGTGGAGAGCAGTTATTTTAGCAGGTTCATTTGGCCCAGTGGGGAGGTGGACTCTCCTTGCTTGACATCACATCCCTTGAAAGCGACTGGGCATCGGTTTCTGGACAGACGCTCGTCTCCCCGGATCGTGCAGATGGCGGGAGGGAATTTGTCAGGCCGCTTTGGAACGAGCAGATGAGCTGTGGGTGTCTTCACGCAACTGCCTTCTTCGATTTTTACCCTCCCACCCCCGTCCTGTCTTCTGCGTCGAGGCTTTTCCAGCTGCAAGCGTCCTTCATTTAGTTTCTCCTCTTAGCTTCTTCAGTCTGTCTCTTCGATGATGAGGAGTCTTCTATCAGTCGTGGGTCTCTATCGAAACCTCGATATTCTTCTCTCCCCCACGTCACCCGTTCCTACCCAATTTCTTTGTTCGTTTTTCTACCTCTCTCTCCCTCTCCTCGTGTCTCTCACTCTCTCTCTCCCTCTTTCTCTCTCCATGGTAGAGTGGTGATAAATCCGTATTTTATTGCCGGAGAATTTTCCTCTCCCTGCAGGGCTGACAGCTCACCACGTTCTAAGACACTGCTAGGACCAAACCCAATCCTCCCTCCCCGCATCACTCCATCTCTGCCTCCATCTGGCTTTGATTACTGAAAGAGCGGAATAAGGGTGGCGGAGCGGAGAGGGGGAAGATGTCGGAGGATCGGCATCACAACATTTCACCGCAGGAGAGGATGGCGCGCGGCGTGTTGGTACGGTCTAAGAGGAGAACGAGAGTAGAAGAGAAAAAAAAAAACCCAGAGGGAGAACAAGAAGTTCTTAATGGTAGCTTAGTGGCGAAGTGAGGGAGAGTGGAAAAAGGAATTAAATTAAAAAAAGAGAATATTTTATGTACTCAACGAGATCCAATTGCTGTTTTTACTTTGGTTTGAGAACCTAGAGACAAAATATCCAAGCACGGTTCATTTTGGACCAATCAAATGTTTCTGTAAACCACAACATATGGTCACATTCAAGAAACTGGAATTTGTGTTTTGATGAGGCTCTTTGAAAGTACTTTCTGAAAATAACTTATAGTCAGGTATCAATCATACTTATCATTAGGCCCACAATTCTGTTTTAAAAATGCTTTCATTGTTCTGATATATATTACAATCTCAAATGTAAAAATTCAGAAATAATAAAGTCTTGAAAACATCAATCCGTGTGTGTAAAAAAAAAAGAAAGGATTTCTCCTGGCTGAACTAAGCGACTGAAATTATTCAATAACATTTTTATTGATTAAATATCACGTATTTATGCATCATGGAAAGACATTCCTAATCAAAGTTCTGCAACATAAAAGTGTAACGATTCGACGGTTCTTTGATAATGGAAAAAAAACCCATAATTTAATATTTTGGTCAATATTGCAATCACAATTATCAATCATTAATTACTGACTCAGTAAGGCCGAGTGAAATATGTTTAGTTTTTTCCATTCAGATTTTTTTTTAGGAGATATTTTGAGCCAAAGATTTTTACAACTTGAAATGACTAATGGGATATGGTTGTGATTCAGTAAAATGTCAGACTAACTAGTCTTGTGAATTTAATGTCTTAAAATGCATCTATGACTTTACATAAAGTATGTCTCATACAAGTTTGTTTTTAATGCTTTGGATGTACTTCTGAACTCTTCTTTGATATGAAGTGGTCAACGTTAGCGTGATTGTGTTCCATAATGACTCACTACTGTTCATAACTCACGTTTCTCTGCTTTCTGGTCCAATGTGTGGCTCACTTGGTTCACAAAGCTGCTTTAGTCACCAGCACTTGACCTCGAACATGTGTTGCTGCGTAACCTAAAGAAACATCTAAACTCACTCCAACGGGAACAAAGTGTTTGATACACTGGGCTAACTAAAGTATCAAGCTAACGCTAGCCGGCTACCGCTTTGTTTTGACGCGTGTCTTTGATGGCGTCGCTCGTAATAAGGCAGAATGTAAACCTGAACTAAGACTGGCTGAAACTGAACTATTTTCTCCCACTTTGTAAATTTATTGCTTACCTTTGAACGTACGACTCCTGTTTCCACTCAGCCATTCGCTAAGTGACTTAGCACAGCTGTTCAAGAAAGGAAACTGCAGCGTCCACTTCGGTCTCTACGCTGCTTACTATTTGGTGTGAATTTCTCTCTGCTGTTTTCTTATCGTGGAAATTATAGGTGAGTGGAATGAGCAAAGTGCATCTTAAATTTCTATTTCCTTTCAGTCATCTAATAGTTTAGATTTTTGCACAACACTATATTGTATTTAAGAGCTTTACACATAGCGAGATATGGTTACAGTAATCATTTTTTGTTGATTGATTGTTTTCTAATTATTTGAGGATAAATTTAAAATAGTTTATTGGTTGGTTCTACAGCCTCAGTTATTAATTTCATTGTTATTTTAAAGCAAAACTAGTTAAATTAATGTTTTAGAGGGATACAGGCGACAGAGGAAAAGATGGATGAGGAAAACATGTTGAACATAACAGATGAGAAAACAATAAGAGTTCAACGAGTTGAAATGAATGTCGAATCAAACGGCGAAAGACAACAAAAACCAGCACTCTCAATTTGCTATCTTTCTCTGCGACCGCGATGGTAATCAGTGTCTTACAGTTTACAAAAATCACAAATAAAGCATTCGTCAATAATGAAGGGACAGGTAATCTGTGAACGAAGTGTTTTCAGTGGCTGCATGAATTTCCTAAAGTCACACAATGCAGTGGTGGAGCGGCGAAACAGCAGCCAGGGCCTGCGAATGTAATCGAGGAGCGATAATGACCGTCATTTTGGGTGGCTGGAGGCTTAAATAGAGAGGACAGCGGAGGAGGCTGTGTGTGCGCTCGCTTGTGTGTCCTGGCAGGCCCGGCTGCACAGCAGCAGGTGCCAGAGGAGTGTGCAATAAACGCAACTGCCTCGGACAAGCTGGCCTCTCACATCAAATGCTGTGTTTTTGGCGATGTCCACTTCAGCTGCTCACATGAGCAATCCTCGTTGGGGTCTGAAGACAACAAAAGTGCTGTAATTTATACCAGATATTTTGTGCAGTGTCAAAGTGCTTCAACAGAGAAAGGAAGTCGAGTGAGAACTGCGATTTGACAGGCTTGTTGTCGTGGTAGAATTGAACAATATGCATAAAATGTGTTGCAGCTGTTCAAGGGAGTACATAAACGTCCAAAATATGACAAAAGTATTGTCACAAAACATTCAAGAAGCAGCCTTTAAATTCAAAGGTAGCGTTTCAATGTTTTGGTAAATTTCATATCTGTCACCTTTAATGATTGTTACAAATCAGTTCATAAATATTGTGGATTTAGAGTATGGCGAACAAAATGTCCCTGCCGAGGATAGTGAGGGGAGCTGAAGAAAGTGAAGAAGGCAATAATAAAAGAAGAGCAACCAGACTGCAACACATTTTTATATGGTGCTAAAATCTTGAACTGGACTTTACGCTGATGTCATATATTGTGTTCTTATCTATTTGTGTTTGAGTTGTCACGTGGCTGCAGACTGTAGCAAACGATGTAAAGACTAAATAGACGTAAATCTGACATGCAATTTCAAGACAGTTATAATTTGTATATACATAGATAGATAGATAGATAGATAGATAGATAGATAGATAGATAGATAGATAGATAGATAGATAGATAGATACCTATATATATATATTTTTTCCTATATAGAACTTAAAAAATAACATTAAAGGAAATCCACAAAAGATAGTCAACTAAAGCTTCACGTTGGATGATGATTCACACCCCACTCGCTCTCCTACACACCTCCAGCAAAAATAATCAGGATAATTTCTATTCATTATTACACCTCCATTTATCTGCGAGACGAGATGTGGGGAGGACGGGGTATAACTCTGAGGAATAACAATACCATTAAAAAGCCTGCGCGGCAAATATCAATCATTGTTGCCGTTAATGTCCCTCCAGCCTATTCAGATGGCCTCTCCTCTTTTCCTAATGTCCACCCATCTGCGTGTGTGAGCGCGCGTGTGTGTGTGTCTGTGTGCGTGTGTGTGTGTGTGTGTGGCTCTTATATTCGGCGCCCTTTAATCAACAATCGCTGCATCTGGGCCAGATAATGAATGGCACTGTTTATAACCTCACTCTTATGCTCTCTGCTGACAAACGCGTGTGCAGCTAATGCAGTTATCATTTGGAGACAAAAATAAATGAATAAATAAATTTAAAAAAAAGAGATCATGCTTTATTCTAATATCGAGGGGAGGATTGTGTTAATATAATTTTCTCGGTAAAGTTGTTATGATGGCGGTGATCACGATGATGTTCCATTTTGTCAACCAGCCGAAGGATTAAACCGCAGCAATAAAGCTGCAGAGATGCGGAGTAAGATATGAGGCAATTGCTTTTTGATTCATGGCTTGTGACAATAAGAGAGATAAGGTTCAGTGGTTAAAAGCGGAGACGGTTTAATTCAAGTGAAAGCAAAAGGGAAGAAAAAAAAAAGGAAATAGAAAGGGACTCGACAAATTTAAATAAAGTAAGAAGGAAGGTTTTACATCACATTCGCGCTAACCTTTGTGCTAAAGCTTTTGTCTTTGTTTGTTTTTCGTTTTGACACGGGCCACAGATGAATAGTCCCCGGTAACCCTGGAAACTCTCTGCACTTTATAGAAGTGAAGTTGAAGAACAGCGATTCTTCCCCAGACATGACAAATTATACAGGAACTGGCATAAAACGATAACAAGCTTTCTGTGTTCATGAGCAGGCGAGGTGCGCCCTGAACTCATTTAGATAACCAAACTCAAAATGATTTCTCAATAAATCGGTAGATGTGTAAAATAAACATGGATAGTAAGTGAAAACTTTTATTAAAACTATATATTGAGTGACCACATACTTTAAAACTCATAAAAATCAACATTCACAAGGCATGTGAGAGTTATTAGCATCAAGGTGTGTCAAGTGCTGAAAAAGTTCAAACTGACTTTAAAACTGGGAAAAAGAAAGGAAGCTCCATCCTTTTAATGTGATGCCAGAAAACATACCACATGTTGCTACCCACTGCTGCTCAGCTGGCTCAAATTAAAACCTATAACAATGGTACTTTTTCACATAACGTCTTTATTTCCCAGGCCTTTTCATGAGTATCTTCAAATGTGACTTTGTGAAGCTAAAAGGTTTCTGAACTACTCATCTACACCATCTTTGAAATGCTACCGAATCGTCATATTAACCCCTTTTATAGTTGAACTACGCTTGAGATTTTACAATATTAATCTATATTTGAAATAGTGTGATGGTGGACCAGAGAGGACTGTACAAAAAAGCTTGTTGAATGCTGCACAATTCAGCTTCAAAGTCCTGTTTAGCCAAAGCAGCAATAGTAAAACAATCTACCTCCAACAAATTATAAAATCTGTTTAAATGCTATTATAGTCAGTTTTGCTGGTTGTTGCTAATTTGCATCAAACTTAACACTTTCCTTGGGTTATAAGCTAAAGCTACTTTTACTCACATAAACCGTCTTTTCTTGAATTAGCATGTGCTTGACATCAAAAACATATTTAATGCTTGTTTTTACTAAATAAGTGGAAGCAGCAAGGAAGTAAAATAAGGTTGTTCTAAAACTACAGTTATGCCAAACTACAAACTACTATTAAATTTAACATGTGTAATTGCTTATCAAAAGTATCAAAGTCAAAATAGCATACATTTTATAGATATCATTGTGATCTAAATAATCATTGTTTTGTTTACACTGCAATAGGAACAATTCTTCATTTTCTCAACTATGTAATTATAAAAGTGACAATATTTTTGTGTAAGTATAATATTTGTCCGAAACTTGTATTTTCACTTCTCCTGCCAAGCAGTGTCCAAGTTTTTGTAGATTAAAAAGTACGATGATGTACAGCGACGCCACAAAAATCTCACTGCTTGTTCAGTTTTGGCAAAAACTTGCTGTGGAGCATCGAGACGTTCACAAATTAAACTCAGAAATAGCAAGAGCAGCAGAAAACTCTGAACTCTGCACAAGAAGAGAAGCAAAACACACAGTGCTGACATTTTTCCTGCTGTCTCTATTTCCTTGGTGACGTTCTCACTGGGGAAAGCAGCAATGTGGAGTTACAACCCACTGTGGAGCTCATATAGAGGACAGGTCTGCGTGTGCCACGGGGACGATTTGGCGTCCACTGCTGCTGGTGTTACTGATAAAAAGACTCCTGGATAACGGCCCTAAAGTCCCGCCATATCGCTGCCATGATGGAAACAAGCTGACAAAGACAACGACGTTTATAAAACAGAACTGAAAGAGGCGACCAGAAAGATTTTATTGAATTTGAATGGAGATCAACTTTTCACATGGACACAAAGTGACATGTGAAAAGTGACACATACTTCATAGTTTGTTATTTAATGTAAGTTGTGTTGAAACCTGCAAAGAAATGTTCCGGTTTCAAGGAAAGCCATTAAACGTTCACTTCGCAGAGGTTTAAATCAGAGGTGTCCAAACATTGTGTTATGAGGGCCAAAACTGTCAGTTTGCAAGAAATAGAGGGCCACAAAATGTAGATTTTTTTTGTCTTGTTTTATTTCTTCAGAATTGCGAATGTTTCCTTTTTATCTGATTGTTGTTTAATCAAATGCAGTCTAATTTCTGTAGGAAAGGCAGCTGTAAATCAGTGTAGATCTAAAATCTCACAACTTCACCTTGTTTAAAAGGGACACAAAAAAACCTGTTAGCAATGTTTCAAAACCAACATTTATTTATAATCTCTTCAGATTTTTTTTTTTTGGTCTTTCTACAAAAAGTATTGCTTTATTTCTCTGAGGTTACAACCAAGATCTGCTCAAGTAAAAGTCGCTGGGTGTTTTCTGTCCTATTTACTATGAACTTGAAATATAAGATTAAAAAAAAGAAATTGGTCTGTATCTTTTTTTTTTTTTTGAAAGTGCAAATTTCACCCGTTTTTTTAAAATCTGCATCGACCTCCAACATCAAAATTTATTTATACCATCGAGGACCTCACAAAATCACCTCCACGGCCACAAATGGCCCCCAGAGCCACACTTTGGACACCCTTTAGTTTAAATTGTTAATCAAAGTGAATGTTAATTTAGTCCAGTCAGTTGA